TTTAGGGTTTTGCGGTGAAAAAAACAAAATCAATTAAATTTAGTACTCTAACTGAAAGTTCAAGTGAAAATAGGTCAGTTATTGCGGGATTAATTTTTTCCAAACTCAAGCTAGTAATGCACATGGTTAATGGTTTCAGTTGGATTTCAATTTTGACTCTAGAACATACGAATCGAACCTTAATGGGTTTCTGGTTTGACTGTTTTCAATTTTAATTATTCTTTTTGAAAAACTGATACATTTTGCTTCATACTGTTTTTTGTTTGTAGATATTATGAATCGAACCTTAAATAAATTAGGAATTTGTATTTAAAAGAAAAAAAAGGAAAATGAAAATGGAATCAAAAGAGAATCGCTTGTTCCAGTTTCCAAAACCTAGAAGTGGAAACAGAACTCTTCCCCTAACAGTCTGGTCCAGTTCCAAAGAAGTAAGAACCCGCCCACCGGTCCAATTTCTGTTCCAGAGCTCTAGATTCCGATTCTGAACCGAAACCTTGTACAGTTTTATTTAAAACTCTAGACTTTATGCTTAATACTTCAGACTCCTGAGTCCTGACTTAATGTAAGTGACTATTTATTTTTTATTATAAATTTGTGGCTTCAAAATCTAGAGTCTATTCTAAAAACTGGTTGTGAGCGAGGCAGTCTAAAGATAGTAAGGTCAATGAATTGTAAGAGAGGTTTTGAGCTCGGATTTCTTATGTAAGACTATCTCATAGAGAAAGATATTTTTACTACCATTAGTGATGATGTTATAATAAACCACTTCCAAAATATGAAAAGTAAGCGCTACTAGTTGTAAGATGTATTTTGTATCCATAGTATAAGAGCATTGTTGATTTTCAATTGATTTTCGAAATTTCATGTTACACGTAATCTTGAATTTTATGGATTACGTGAATACGAATTTTCATAAATGGGATCCCATGCCCGAAAATCTCTGGGTCCGCCTACTCCGTATAATTTTAGTACGCATCATTTTTTCACTATAAAATTATATTTTTGCTATAAATAACTTTTACATCAAGAATTATATATTTAAGTGTACAAATATATTGTAATTTTATTTTGATGGATACAAAATATTGTACAGACATGATCCGTTCATTTTAAAATTATTAAATTAATTGTGTAATATTGCTACAACAACAAACCTAGTAAAATCTTGTGAATTAAAGTCTAAGGAGGTTCATTGTACGCATACTTTATCCCTATGTGGAGAGTAGTAGCACAATAGAATGGTGTAACCTGACAGAAAAATACATTTTGTAAAAGTTTATTGGGCTGTCCTTTGAATAGTATAAGCCTGGTTAAGGAGGTATAGAGCCTAACTTTACATTTTACAAGCTATATCTGAATGAAGCCCAACTGTAGTTCTATATACCATATTACCATTAGAATTCCTAAAATATCACCAAGCTTCCCTTCTATTCTCTTCTCTTCTCTTCGCTGTTCATCCATATCGGTCCAAAGGTATTTTTTTTCTACACTCCATCTTCAGTCTTGACTGCTTCAACTTCTAACCTTAGTAGATTTTTTTGATCATTAATTAATGAATCTGCAGAGGGTTGAATTTTAAATAGAGAATGAGAATCACCAACTACTCTGCAGATATTAGTATTTGCTTTGTTTGTATATCTTTCTTTCAAATACCCCGGAGTATATGTTTTTAAAATAGTTTTGTTACTTGCATTTAAAATGCTTAATTGTTTAGTTGTTGGGACATGAAGCTTCGTTGTTGTTGTAAAATGTTTGCATTTAAGTTTTAATGTTATGAATTCATAAACCCGCGTTTTTAATCGGATTATTATAAATTTCTTAGCCAAAATAAAATTTTTCTTGGAGATCGTGCAGTGGGAAATTGAACATTTCAGTTCAATTTACATGGTGAGAGGCATAGCTGATTTACCACTCCCATTATTTGAATTCTTAAAAGCTTGAATTTTGATTTTGCCACAATTAGTATTTTTCAATAATCCATTACTCCACACAATTATTGCTCCAACATTTAAATAATTGAAAACAACAAGAAGACTAAAAACTAAGGTCTCATTTGGCTTTGATTATGAAAAGCTGATTCTCTTGATTGTGTCAATTCTCACCCCAGAAACAGTAGTTTTCATTTGTTTTAGATTCTGAAAAAATAAGTTTTGGGTAGATAATTGGAAAGCAAACGGGATTAGAGAAATACAGAGTACTATACGTTGGTTGATAGACATAGCACTGTTGAAATGAAAGCAACAAAGAGGGCATTTGTAGCAATTTCCAAGTGAAGATGAAAACAACAAAGAGGGTAATTGTAGCATGTCGATATTCTACCCTTTCATGAAGATTTCCAAGCTTTCATTCCCTTGTTTAAAGAGGCGGACCCTATGAAGATTCACACAAGAACCTTCATAGTTCCACTCAGTCCTTAATCCTCACCAACTTACCTCTACAGGTCTCCTTAAACTTTAAAAGGTCTGTTTTAAATTTTTTAATGCCAGAATTTCTGAATAGTAAATTTTCTAACTCCCTGTGAATGACTCTCATCAACTACACCGTCACGACATGAATAATAGAGGCCAAGAACAAAAAAAAGTCATTTAATAGAAAACTTGCCCACTCATCCCTCATCTAACGAGGACCAGCATTGCTGCAGCTAGCCCTGATGATAGCTTGTATCTGATCCAATGTTTACCTGAAAGCACTCATAACGTTGTTCACCTCAGCCAGGAGACTGTGTGCTCTCCCTTCACATTTTGTTGTTTCACCTTGTGTTTTAAGTGGATTGTGCATCACTTGGGTATCTGTTGTGACAGATGGGAGGGTGGTTGAATGGAGGTTTTGGTTGGGGCAGTAAATACTTAGTTTTCCACGAGAAGCTCGATGTAGAAACAGAAAAGACCCTTTCAGTAAACCTAACCTGCCGCTGCTGATGCACCTATCATTACTCCAGCCACTCGAAATATGAGAAGCAATAACTAAGTGTGCAGGGAGAGCAGATGAGTCTCGTGGATTCGGCAGACAATAGTATGAGTGCTTTCAAGACTACCTTGGGTCAGATCCAAACAACATCAAGGGGCTTGTTTTAGCACCGTCAATCCTTGCTCATCTTGTTGATAGAGGGATCTGGAACGGATTTTCTATTGAAAAAGACTAAACTAGGAGCAAAAAATAGAGAAATTACCAAAATAGGATCTCCATGTTTTTATTTCAAAAATAGGAGTTACAATGCCAATAATGTCTAGATCTAATACTAAAAAAGTTGTGAAATGTCAATATATAGTGCTACATTGTCACAGTGCTCCTATTTTGAGAATAAAAATTTGTCATTCCTATTTTGAAGATAAGAGCTATGTTTTACTCCAATTTTGGGTGATTTCTTATTTTCGAATAGATGTCTCTTTTATTCAAGCCACGTCGGTGTGTTTGATGAGACTAATAGCAGATGGAAGGGAATTTTAAAAAAACTATTATCCACATATGGATCCTAAAAATAGGCTCAGCCTCATTGCACAAGAGACTGATAGCTCGTGAAACTTACAACAACAACCCAGTACAATCCCAACTTCGTTGGGGTCTGGGGGTCAAGATGTATGCAGTTTTACCTAGTAAAAAAAAGAGGCTGTTGCCTTTACACCCTAGATGCATTGCTGCATTTTTTTGCCCAAAACTTCGCACAAAGTAAGACGCAAGGAAATTTTAATGTTTCATTTAATGAAAGAGTATTATCTTGACATGGTCTTCACATGTGTATTCACTTGCTTGTTGTTGTTAAACCCATGATTCAATCATCTTAAGCCCCTAATATTTGTGTCTTGGACCAGTTGAACACTTCGCCCCCCCCCCCCCTCCTTTCAATCTCAATCTAACTTTTGTGGAGCTATTTTTATTTATCTCGGTCCAGTTTTTGGTTAGTTCTCTCTTTAACCTCGGTGTGCGTTTGGTTGTGAGGCTGCACAATGAACTGAAATATTTCTGACTTCTATTTGCCTATATCCAAGCAGTTCAAATACAATATTTTGAGTAAATTTCATAAATGGCCACTAATTACAGGTGATTTTCCATAATTAGTCCCCAATTATAAATATTGCATAAATGGGAGTATCAGTTTTTGAAAACTATTCCTCCATAACTAGTCCTTCAGGGACTATATGTGGAAAAAAATGTTGTCATATTTGGCCTAAAGGACTATTTATGAAATAGTTTTCAGCGATTGAGGATCATTTATGTAAGATCTTAGAATGTGGGTTTCTGCTCGCTAAACACCAACAGCAACCTCATCTGTTTTCCTCAGCTCTTGCATCGATGGTGGACTCGTGGTGGCCTCTAGTGGCGGCAGCTGTGCCAGCTGTCCTCGCCGGCCAAGCTTTCAGGATGAAGAAGAGACGGGACGAGGAACAGAGGCTGAAGAGGGCAAGGGGGCGGGAGAAGAGCTCGGACGAAATCTTTGTCTGCGAGAGGGTCTGCACCTCAAAGAGGATGCTGAAGAAAGTCGGCACGTTTTCCAAAGACCCGACCCCCGACACTTGCGTCACCGTTTGCGGGGTCTCGGAGCTCGACGCCTGCGCCGATGCGTGCGCCAGAACGGTGTGCGTCAGCCAGCACCAGGTGCCCCACTGGAATGACGTCTGCCTCAAGAGGTGCCAGAGCGAGTGCCTCAGGCTCTCAAAGTCCTCCACACTGTCTTCTTGATCACAGCCCATTCCTTTCTTTGAGGATTCATTCTGGTGTGAACTGGTAATCAAAGATCCTTCTTCTCTCTTGTTTTGTGGTATGATCATGCATTGTTTTAGTCCTCACCTATTTAAATTTCATACCATGAGAAAGGGGGGAGGGGGGTGATCTTAAAAGTTTCATCAAGTAGAAAAATTCACATCAGCATTAGTAGAAATTTGCAACTTGGTGTGAAATTAATATATAAAATTTATACATTTGAAATTATTATTAAAAATTCTACGAAACAAGATATGATTTTGTTCTACTCTGTATTACTTTATCTTAAAAGGACATCCTCTAATTGTATCAATAATTTATTTATGAAACAAGAAGTGACATGACTATGTTATTTTATCAAATGAGTAACGAAAAATATAGAAAAAAAATGAATAAAAATTACCCGAATAAACAGTAAAGAGACCACTTAAAAGGGTCATTTCCTTCATCTGATGCACCTTTCCTCTAATTTACAAAAAAAAAACCACTCTATATACATTGTTTTTTTTTAATTTTTTTTGGAAGTCCTATATACACTCTTTAAAAATCACACTATCCCGCCAGTTCTAGGGACGTAGGGATAGGTTCAAAACCTTTAAAATTAGAAAGAAATAAAAAATAACCCAAGGGGTAAATTTAAAAAAATTTAACTCAGTGGTCAAAATATAGGAAATCACCATCCCTGTATTCCACCTTATTGGACTCATCATCACAGATCTTATCAAGCAACTTGTTGATCTGCTTCATCGACGGCCGCGCCTCCGGCCGCTTCTGGAAACACATCCCCGCAATGGTCACTATCTTCAGCACCGTCGCCGCGTCGTAGTAACTCCTCAGCCTCGGATCCATGTTTTCTTCCAGCCTTCTCCGGTCCGAAAACCTCTCCATCAGCGCCCCGAGAACGCCCCTCTCCTCGTCTCTGCCGCCGCCGTCGTCCCTCCCCGACGGCAGCAGCGGCTTCCCCATCAGCGTCTCGCACAGGAACGTCCCGAACCCCCACACGTCGTTCTCCTTCGTCGTCGAGTACGACGTGTGGAGCTCCGGGGCCCGCGCGAGCAGCATCTCAGCCGCGTCGGGGCTCGCCTCTGCGGCGAGCTCCGACGCGGTCTTGTACGCGTTGAGCTTCGGGAAGACGGAGTACGCGAGCCGGACGTCGAGCCCGGCGTCGAGGAGCACGGCACTCGACCTGAATGCCCGGTACGTCACGCCGCGCTCGTGGAGGTGCTCCAGGGCGCGGCCCGCCTGGAGGGCGATCTTCATCCTCCGCTCCCACGCCACGGGCTTGTGGCGCGGGGGGTCCGGGGCGACGAGGCGGTCCCGGGCGGACCCGTTTTCGACCAGGTCGAAGACGAGGAAGCAGTGGGCCCGGTGCCGCCGCCGTCCGTCGGGCTCCGCGCAGTACCCGAGGAGCGGGACGAGGTTCGGGTGGGAGAGGGTTTCGAGCTTCTTGATCTCGGAGAGGCATTTCGGGAGGTCGGCGAGGAGGAGGCCGCGGCGGCCGAGGTTCCGGACGACAACGCGGACCGTCTTCTTCGGCTCGTGCCGCCGGTCCGGGTTCGGGTTCGGGGCACGCCGTCTCCGGAGGGTGCCCTTGTAGGTGTCTTCCCCGATTTTGTTGGCGGCGTTGAATTTGTTGGTGGCTTTTCGGATCTTCTTGTAGGTGAATTTCTTGAGGGAGGTGGTGGGCAGCGGCGGCATGCGGCGGCGTTCTTCTCTGGCGGGGCTGAAGCACCGCGCCCAATCCATATATGGAAATATATATATTTAGGATTATTAATTAAGAACACGACAACGTTATTGCCTGTTCGATTCCGACCATGTTGGAATGACTATGATAAGAATCGTCGTCGTCTTCTTGGATCTATCCCATCCCTAAAACCATAAAAAAAAAGATTTAAAATTTTTCAAGTTTTATGGGACGTGGAAACTTGGATGGCAATATTTCATTCTATGTATGGATGGGTAGGGAGTGAAAATCACGGGCTTAACATGACTTTTTCTATTTACTAGTATTCCTACCCGTGTAATGCACGGGTTCGGACGAATATCTTGTCGATTCTGAATTTATTCAATGCAATATTTTTTTCCGGAGTAAAGGAAATATACCTCATGCATGATTTATAATAACACAGAAAAAAAAAGCAAAGTAAGAAGAATAATATTTGAGGAATTGAATCTACACACAACAAAGTTTGCTTTAATACCAAATATTTTGAAAGATTTCAGGGTATACAACATTTTTTGTATGGCTGCAAGGATTTCCATTGTAATCTAAGACTAGTATTTTAAATCATGTCTTTGTCTTCACTCGCGAAATAGCAACATAAACAAATGACAATGTTTGACCTTGACTTTTGTTTATAGTCATAGAAAAATATAAGAGTATTGGAAATTGTCTTCTCTGGAACTTTAGAGGTAGTCCTGGATTAGACGGTACCAAATTCATCCGGGGTATGTAAAATTTTTCGCCCACTCGATTTCCCGAAACCACAATAGCACCAATAACATTCTTTCGCATCTCGTCAACAATTAATCTTGTACCATTACACAATCTAGATGTTTGGTCAATGTTTCTCAGTAACATAATTGGTACCCCTTTTTTTAAAACTATCCTGTGGTTTGGGATTCCCGAATATTTGATTTCATTCAAAAACGCAACTGTTATCCAGTCACCATCAACGCCTACATCTGAATCTGCTTGGCATGATGAATCAGAACTCAAGTACACCATTTTATCTCCGGGAATGAAGGATAAGACAAATTCATTTACCATTTCTACAACTTCGAGCGTGGGTGCTAGTAGTGCCCTGTCTTCAAAAAAAGATTAACTTCTCATATTCTCCAATAAGTTCGGATAAGTAAAGTCCACTATACTTTTAAGGGGTGAGTTGTTATCTATAATCAAAAATTCGAGAGGAATTTCAACGTTTTAAAAATCCGAGCAAAATATTATGGTAAACATTTTACTGAAAATTTTGTTAGTTAAAAAAGAAATTTTTCTTTTTTCCATTAATAATTTTTATTTTATGCAATACTATATTTATGTTTCACTAATTTTATTATGTTACATAATTTCTTTTATTATATCATAAATTAGTCGAAGGAAAAGTCAATTCAATTCTCTTGATGACATGGCTGATTAGGTGTCAAAAAACAATCCAGTCATCACGCCAAATGTCGCAATTCTGAGAGTTCAACTCTCAAATATTATATATAAAGGATTTGATTTAGTCGAGGAAAAAATAATTTTTTTAATAGAAAACGATTTTCTAATCTCTGGTAAGAATTTTTTTAAATATATAAAAAAACCATATTCTATTAAGCTAGGAAAGAAATGTTTAGAATTAAGCTATCTTTACCCTAGAAATTATACTTACTTTGTACTCTAAAGACATGCACCAACATTTTATGCTAGTGTAATAGTTTATAAAAATCACCCTAAATAAGAATAAAACATAGAAAAAGTACCATAATAGGACTTTCATTTTTTATTCCCGAAATAGGAGTTCGCACTATGGTAATGTGGAGGTAGTGTGACACTGTACACGTGCACGTTATTATATTTTTTGGTAGTGTACATGGTCACTTTTGGTAATGTAAATCCATTTTAACTCCTATTTCGAAAAAAAAAACATGAAAATATTATTCTGGTATATTTACAATATTTGACTTCTACTTTAGCCATTTTCTCAATAGTTTGCAATGACATAAAATGTTAGTACAATTTTTTTTTGGATACACTAGCATTTTATGCCAGTTTGAATCGTGAAAGTGTCGGTGCATTGCTTTAGGTACATTTCTTTGTCTACCACTAGCATGGTTGAAATGTTTATGTTTGGAAGAGAATTGGCTTAGTGAGTAAGGAACCATGTCCCCATTATTGAGTGGGGAGGGGTAGGTGATCGGGGGTGGGGGGTGCGTGGTCTGGGACTCGAGGATTGGGATCGGGTTCAGGTGGCGAGATAGGTCAGAGGCAGAATAAGTTATTTGCTTTGTTCGTGAAATAAGGAGACTCGGAAAGTGAATAGAAAAATAATTTTTTGTTGAAAGTTGAAAGAAATTATTTTCCTCTTTGAGGGAATGTCTTTCAAAATATATTTTTTACGGAGTACTATTTATGTTACCAAATGGCCAAACGTATAAAATTATTTTTCTACCATTTATGTTACCAAACGTGGAAAAACAGAAAAACTATAATTGAAATTTGCAGGGAAAAATTTCATTGATGTTATTTTTAAAAATGTTACCAAACGTTCAAATTATGTCCAAATGTCCAAATACCATTAATGTTACCAAACGCCCAAATTACCGTTGATATTATTTTTTAAAATTAAGTTTCATTTTTATAATTTAATCTCAATTCTTAAATAAATTGGATTAAAAATAAATTTAATAAGACATCGTAAGTTGAAACAGATTATTTAATTTGGGATGAAAGGATATTAAAAAATTTGAGTTGAAATGACTATTATTTTAATTATCAAATGACTGTGAAAAAAGGAGTAAAAGATATAATAAATAAAATTTGACCGTGCATAATAAAATATGAAGTAAAAATTTAGGACGAATGGAGTATCTTATATTCTCTTCATCCCACAATTCGAAATAGTTTCTTTTTCCTTTTTTCAAAAAAAAGGTATATAATATTGTTCTCTCTTCTAGTTAAATTTTATAAACACTATTTTTTTTATTATTCCACATCTTTTTTTATATCATTTCAGTACTTTTCTTAACCCCTGAAGTCAACGTGACAAATTCATTTTAAGAGGGACGGAGAATATTGCTTATTTGAGACATTTACTTTTTTGTATACACTTAAAGCATTAACATTATACATATGATATTTGCTCATTTGATAATTTTGTTAAAAGAAACTTTTGATTATGTCCCAAGTTAAAAACACTTCTGATCCGAAAAGTAATATAAATTAAATTTTAAAAATGAATTTTAAAAAAAGCACACTTATATTTACTCACGTGCTTAAAACATCACTACATGAATAAATTAGTTCCTTGGTCCCAATTTATAGTGTCTGTTTTGATTTATGATATTTGACTAAAATTATTTTCAAATCATTTTATATGTCAAATGGTGTGGAGTTAAAAAAAATAAAAATTAAATATTAAAATACTACATCAAAAGATCTACAAAACTAGTAGTGATAATAGTATTTTATTTTATCAAATTGCAAACGAAAATAGAGAGAGAAAATGAATGAAGTTTGACTCTGTGAATAGTGAACACGCTATAAATTGGGACGGAGGAATCACATAATATTGATGGCATATGAAGAGCGGGCAAAAAGTTTAGGGCATTTACAATCGGGAGCTCACTCTGCCGCGCCCCACGCTTTCGCATGCAGCGCCACACCGCGCCGCACGCCCATTGCAAGAGAAGAGCCATATATGGTTTCTGCCGCAGTGGATGCCCCGCTTCCGGTGCAGAGAGCCAAGCTGAGTTTTTGATGCAAAAATGCGGTGGCCGACGGTCCGCGGTCGCCCCCCTTTTTTAAATATTTTTTTCATTTTTCAACTCAATAAATTTAACACATCTTCAACTTCAATTCATCTCTCTCATCCCTCTCAATTCACTCTCATCTCACTCAAATAACTTTCTTTCCATTTCCTCATTATTCACAATGAAATCTAAGGACAACTTCAACTTTGATAATTCCAAACTCCATGCCGTCATTGGATTTGCAAACTCCGGTTCTTTAGCGATGATTTTACCCTGTTCTCGGGCTTCAATAGCCCCTACCAATTTTTGGCCGTTAATACGACCGACTACGATGTTTCTGAGTTGGAGCCTATTGACGAGGGCATTAGCCGGAGAAATATACTCTGGCGAAAAGTCTGAGATTGGCGAAGTACTACGTCGATGTGTCAGAGGACGCCATCGTCGGCTACTAAAAATAAAAAATATTCTGGGAGCGTGTTGCAGTGAAGTACAATGCCGGGAGGCCCGATGGTACGCCCGTACGTGACGGGGAGATGCTTCGAAAAAGACTAGAGCCATGTGAACGCAAAAGTCCAGAAGTTCGGTGGCTTATATGCCAACGTGCTCAAGACGTGACCAGTGGGTCCTCCGCTAAAGACATTATGTCGAAGGCGTTGGACTCTTATTGCGGAGATGGAGCTGAAAAACCACCCCAACATGATGGTGGCGATCCACATCATGATAAATAGGGCAACTCAATAGTATTTGTTTTTTAAGTCTTTATTTTTCAAGCACTTTTTTATTTTTGTGTTTTGTAATTTTAGTTCTAAGCATGTTATATTTGTTTATTTTAAATTTTTTTATTGTTACAATTATTTTTTATTTTTTTAAAAATCATTCATCTTTTTTTGCTTAAAATAAAATTTACATAAGTTTTTAATTAAACATAATGAATAATAAAAAAATAGAGATGCGTATTTTCAGAGCGATAGCATTGTAGTAAAATTTTGGGACGGGACTGAAAATTAATGAAATGTTGATGTGGCAGGAGTTAAGGCTTTACTCTCCATTGTAAATGCTCTTTGGTTCTATTTGTATGAGTTCTTTAAATACAAAGTAATTTTTTTGTTATATACTCCTTATTAAAGAAAATATATTTATGGTTTGAATCGAGTTTGAATCCTGACTACACTGAAACTTAAGGAGTAAAAGGCAATTATATATACTTTCTCAATCATATAAAACTTTTTAAAGATGAACGAATAATTTTGATATTATTTTCCAAATATGACTCATCAATCCTACAAACTATATCTTACATTAAAATAAAGTAAGGTAAAATTAGAAAATAATACTACATCCATCCCAAAATGATTTACCTCTTCTCTATTACATGTCAATAACTTTTTTGTGTTTGCATGTTTTCATTGATTATTTGATAAAATAAAATATTTTCGTCTTCAGATGTTTTGTAAAACTTTTGATGCGGCTTTTTAAATATATATATTGGAGTGATTTTTATTTTTTATTTCAATACCAATTTGGAAATAAACTCATTTTGGAATTCATGAGATTTTGCACATCGAAAGAGATAATTCATTTTGGATCAAAGTATCAAAGTTATACATTAAGTCATGTATTTTTCATCTTTGAAAAAAATTATGAAACAGAAGAAGTATATAACATGAGATCTCTACATGTACCAAAGATAAAACTCTACTCTCTATCACTTATGGAGTAAATTGAGATCAAATTCTATTTTCTTTTTATAGGTAAGTGTCCACCAATTCTTTTTTTAGTGCTACAATTACAATATAGTATCTCTATCCCTGAGAATTTGTCCAATTTTGACTTTTCCCGATTAACTGTTCAACATTTGACTTATAATTAAATAAAATATACTATGTATTAATTAGCTAAAATAATATTTTGAAAATATTTGATATAATAAATATAATAAATTTATTTTTGTATGAATATATAATATCACTTTTAATTAATTTGAAGTCAAAGTTTACCAATTTTGACCGGAAAAATTAAAAATAGACAAATACTCAGGAACAGAAGAAGTATTATATGTTCATGCTTTCACAATCTAATGACAGCCAACAGTTTTGCCTCGATTGGGACTCAAACATGTATGAGCTTCCCTAGGAATGTTGGAGAATGTATTTCAAACAACTCAGACCAAGAGAGAATCGTCGTCCGAGTCTTGATACAAGAGGTTTGTGCTTTAAAAAAAGAAAAATAAAAAATATGATAAAATCAATTGTTTTATCATTTATATACGCTTTATTTGTAAAAAAAAAGTTGTAACACGAAAAAGGTTTACATAATAAAAAAAACATGAAATTCTTTTTGTAACTCAAATTTAATATACTTAAGGGGTGCTCTGGGTCATGGCAGAAGAGTAAAGCAAAGATATCCAGAGTGACATTCTTGCACTTGAAGCGTGGGCATGTAAATTTCAAAGAGTTTTTCATCTACTTTAAAGCCAAGAAAGACATATATATCCCACTAAATCCTCCATTTCCATGTCATAAACCTTCTAATCACTTCATGTTTATAAATCTAATTACCATCGGCTTGCCCGGATTTACGTACCAAACCAAGTAACAAAAATAAAGAAAGAAACAATTGCATCCCCCGAATGGCGGAGACGCGGATTCTTATTGTGTTCGTTCTTGTTTTCATGGTGGCAGCAGTTGGCTGTGCTGCTGAGAAGTTGCACGATAGGGGAGATGAGTTCAAGGAATGGTGGGAGATTGAAGATGATGATGATGGAGTGGAGCTCTTAGACCTCCCATCACTCACAAATGGTCGCGGGAACAAAATTCTTGTCAATGTGGATAGCTTTGGTGCAGTTGGTGATGGCGTTTCTGATGATACCAAGGTAACGATTCATTTGAAATATGGCCCTGTTCGGAACAACATTATTAATTAGCGTTAGCATTTTTGGGTAACTTTTTTAATAGTGCAGATTAACTTTGAAAGCACTAAAATTAAAAAATGTCATTAAATAACTTTTTCAAAGCGGTAAAGCTGTTGTTACAGACCCAATATATTCCAAATCCAATTGGGTTCTAGAGTTCTAGTTGTTCACTTTTTTTTTTTTTGTTTTTTCGGGATATGCAAATTAAAGTTCTTGTCGAATAAGGAGAATGGCCAAAAATACCCCTGAAGCGGATACTAGGCTTGTAACCATCAAAACAGAGGACAAGCCACCTTCAAGGGCGATTTTGACATTTCACACCGTCTTTAGACTTGAGATGTCAAATTGCAGCTGCTATTGTAAATGAGCTACCCCAAAAAACAGTATTGCATTATGAAAAATTTACCAGGCCTTTGCAGATGCATGGACGCAGGCGTGTTCTGCAGAAAGATCAGTCCTCTTGGTTCCCTCAAAGCGCAGTTACCTTGTCAGTGCCACACGATTCAAAGGTCCTTGTGCAAGGAACTTGATAGTCCAGGTTGCACCCAAAATCCCCCAGTATCATTTTCCCCACATTATCCTGTCATTAAGTGTCATCTTGTGTAATGAGATCCTGGACAACAGATTGAAGGAACAATTGTGGCGCCGGATGAACCAGATAATTGGGATCCGAAAAACCCGCGAGTTTGGCTTGTTTTCTCCAACCTCACATCCGTCTCATTCCAAGGAGGAGGAGTTCTCGATGGCTCTGGGAAAAACTGGTGGGATGCCTCCTGCAAAAAGAACAAATCCAATGTAATTTTTCAAATATACGGAAACTTATATGTTTAGTGGGTGTTTCTCTGCGCTTATAAGTTGGTCAAAACTGCTTCTAAGCAGTTTTTAACTTATAAGTCAGTTGACTGCTTATAAGCCGGAAAAAAACAAGGTCTTACCTGCTTATTTTTAAGCCAATTTTTATGTTTCTTAATTTGATAAGATTATTTACAAAACTATCTTTCACCATTTATGAATATTCTCAAATGACTTATCTATCATTTAAGTCATTTTACTTCCAAGAAAGAATATCTGTCTTATAAGCAGCTTATAAATTTATAAATTTTTATCAGCAATAAGGCAATAAAGACAAGCACAAAGAAACACCCCTTTAATTTAGAGTAAATAATCGGTTTCTTTAATTTTAATAAGTTTATCTCTCCTTTTCTCAACAGCCTTGCAAAGGAGCACCAACTGTAAGAATACGATTTATCCCTGAACTCATTGAGTTTTTCATAGCATCATTATAAGAAACTTTTTTCCACCATTAAAAGATTTTGATGAACTTATGTTGAAATTTTAATTGCAGGCTTTGAGTATAGATCAAAGTTCTCGCATAAAGGTAAAGGGTCTTACAATCCAGAACAGCCAACAGATGCACTTCACCGTATCTCGATCAGAATCTGTGGTTGTCACCGGTGTAAAAATTTCTTCCCCGGAAGATAGTCCGAATACCGATGGAATTCATATAACTGAATCGAAAAATATTGTCCTCCAGAGCTGCAAAATAGGAACAGGTCCCCCAAAATTACTTCTAAAATGAGACGTTTTGCATACATGTCATGAAGAAAACTTTAAACAGAATCATTTAATTATCTTCTAATGACGGAGTTTTTTTCCATAACTAGGTGATGATTGCATCTCAATTGTCAATGCCAGCTCAAATATCATGATGAAGAAAATCTATTGTGGACCTGGCCATGGAATCAGGTGTGAATGCAATCAAACATTTAATTTCAATGTTTTTAGCAGTGTCAATGCAATCACATGTCAATATTTTTAAGGACCATTGCAGAAAATGTATCATATTCCCTCCGTCCCAAAATTAGATTACACTTTGCTATTTATAGGTCAAACTATTTCTTCTTTCCTCGGATATTTTAAAGATATTTCCAATTGTCAATTGATAAAATAAAATAGTCATGTCGCCTCTTATTTAGTACTCCCCATCCAAGATCTTTATCTCATTTAAAAAAATTCTAATCAACACTTTTCACTTCTCAACGCTTTTCTTAAATTCGTGGAAGTTAAACTGGGTAAAGTGTTTGGGACAGAAGAAGTAGAACTTTTGATTTAGTTTTTTAATATATAAACTTTATTTATATAATTCTGCACCAATTTCAAACAAATGAAATTGAAATAAACTTTAGTCAAACACTGTAAACCGTAAGTAGAACCTTTTCCTGGGACGGAGCAAGTAAAAAATCAGTTGAAATTAACCAATTCCAGAGCACCTATGGGTGACATAATTTGTGCACTACTTGCGATGAGAGTTTTATCTCATGGTATGATTTCCGTTTGACAGCATTGGAAGCCTTGGGAAGGATAATTCTGTTGGAATAGTGACAAAGGTGGCATTGGATACTGCATTCCTTCGAGAAACTACCAATGGCCTTCGAATTAAGACCTGGCAGGCATTGATTTTCTTCTATTCATATATTCTATTTCATTCTAATCGAATTTTCAACTCCTTCCTATTCGGTAACAAGAAAAAACTATGGACAAGATACAGCTTAAGCAAAATAATACCATTATCAACACCTTAATCACAACTAGTTGGGGTCAGTGGCATTAAATTTATAGTCCTAATTAATTGTCTATAATTGCTTAATACTATAAATTCATACAAAAAAGCAGAGGGAGTGAATTATGCCGGATGCCCTTCTTGTCTTCTTAAGAAAGAACAATGAGAAGAAAATTCTAAAACCATTGTCTTCATGGATTATTTCCATTTGAATGGAAAATACATGAGACGGCAAAGAGTTGAGATATTTTCTTTTGTCAGATCCATTATATGATTGATATTGCAAAACACCCAGAGATGCATGTGAAAATGATGTTTGTTTCCATTAAAAATTTGCTGAGAACAAAATGTGTTCGATTATGTCCTATGGCAGGGAGGGTCTGGTTATGTCCACACAATACGTTTCCAAAACGTGATGATGGATGATGTTTCCAACCCCATCATCATTGACCAGTTTTATTGCGATTCTCCTACAACATGCCAAAACCAGGTATGCTTCAGACTAAGGCACTTGAAGCAATCATAAAGAAAAGTCTTATAGTATGCATACTTAATAATAACATCTATTTTTATGTGGAAGACATCTGCAGTGGAAATAAGTAGAATTGTTTACCAGAACATCAGTGGAATTTCAAAGAGTAAAAATGCAATGAGATTTGCATGTAGCGACAGTGTACCTTGTAGTAACATTGTGTTAAACAACATTAACCTGGAGACCAAAGATGGCACTGCTGAGGTCTACTGCAACTCTTTCACAGGAATTGGCTATGGATATGTACATCCTTCCGCTGAATGCATCAACTTGGGTGTGAAGAGAATTAAGCAGGTAACAGAAGCTGAGCTGGCTGAAAAGAACAAAACAAATAACCTTATCCATACTGAGTTATAGCTTCCGAGAAGATATTGTCTGGACTAAACATCTTGTAAACATATGACTATTTCTTCTTTAGTTTAGCATTGTTTATTTGAATAGCCTTGGATTTTGGGGTTCTAAAATTATTTGCATATTTTGTTCCTTTACAAATTTCAGTTTTTGTTGTTGTTCATACAATGTGGTCTTGTGGTGTGGATGAATTTCAAATTTTGACTCATGTATGCTGTGACTAAGCATGTGGGATTCTATTGTGTATGCTGTTTGTTGTAAGTTGTGATTAACTTCACCTTTTAACTTTGTTGTTCAAACAGTGAATTAGTTTGAAGCAGATTTCAGTTTGTATTGGTTTAAAAATGCAAAGGATTTTAACATTGTTCGGTTTATTTTTCTATCTTCACGAGTACTTCTTCCATATTAACTTTGTGCATACCTTTCACGCTTGGAGATTGTAGCTTTGCTGAGAGGGTATCAAGGTAAAAAAAAACCTCCTGAGCATAGTCAAGGATATATGTAAACAGTGCCCATGAAAGTATAGGGCACCCAAATGTTTTTAATTACATATTCATCTCTTCATCTCATTACTCTGAAGCTATGAGAATTCAACTATCCATTTAAAATCTAATAAAAGTTTTAAAACTTCCAATGTTAGTAAAAGTAATTTAAAAAAACTCAAAAAAATTGATGAATAAATGGGTATGGTTTGGCCGTTTGGGTAGGGGATATCCTAAGGATAGTATACAAATCTAATACAGGTAGCTCATCCTGACTAAACCAAACAAGGTACACAAACTCTATCTAAACGGGTTCTGAGCCTTTGGTGTACAGTTATAGATCACACATTTGCATCCTTCAGTAATGATCTGGCTAATTAAATTTCATTTGAAAATAGTCTTTAACTTAGTTGACAACAAATTGGGATCATACCATAGTCTGTTAAAAGTGACCTATATCCTCTTCCATTTCTCTCTTTTTTTTCATTCCTGTTCTAGGGCTCTACTTCTTGTCCTCCACTTGTTTGAGATGCATTTAAAATGCCTTTGGGAATTCTTCCACCTTGCTGAAAACAGAGGAATATAACAAATTTACACGCCCATTTTACATAATAAGGTAAGGATTGGCTTGACATAAAAATATTGGATGAAAACACAATAAACTGATCAATAATATGTAAAAATGAAAATTAAGTTATGGTGCATTGAATCTGTTAACTTACCTTAGTCTCTCCCGAACTCAAGAATAAAATAATGTTAACCTCTCATTCCCGTGGAATACATTCTACAGTCTCAAATCACCAAATATAATGTCACACAGCCTTTCCTCCTTCATAAGCTTCCTGTTATTGTATTTGGCTTCAAAGATTTTCTTTTCCTTCCTGTAAGATTCTAGATCACTAGCTCTTCCATTTTCTTCAAGGCCATTTAATACAACAGAGTAAGTTCCTAAAGAAACATGCACCCTTTGCTCTTTCATCTTTTCAAACATTTCAAGTCCTTTGTCAGCATTTGTAGACAAGAAGTAAGCTCTGATTAGCCCAGTGTAAACAATAGTGCTTTTTTTCTCTTCGTAAGGTAGCAAGCGAAATACCTTCTCAGCATAAACATGGCCGTTTGAACAGCCAAGCCTTTGTATTAAAAGAGCACTAAGTTGTGAACCCAAGGTTAATCCCGCACCTAGCATTGCTTCAACAATCTCAACTACCCTCTGAAAAGAATTTGCTCTGACAAGTACACCCATTAAAGTTAGATAAGTGGTTCTGTCAATGTTTATGCCAAGCTTTTTGCATAAATCAAATGCTAATAAAGCCCCATTTTGTCTTCCACGGTTAAAATTTGCCTCAATAATACGCGAGATGATTCCAGAATCTAATGCAGAGCATGTCCCCATCAAATCAGCTATCAAGTGGTCAATGGCAATCAGATTTTGCTTATTCAACAGATACATAACAAGTTTATCTTCTAAACTGAATTCATTATTCTTAATAGTGGAATGAGATCCATGTGTCTGCACCTGATTGCATTGATTTGATGAAATGTGACGATTAACCTGCTTGAGGAGCACACTGCTCTCACCAGATATATGTAGTGCTTCAAGAGCCTCCTGATACACTGAGTAGCGAAGAACAAGAAAGTTCTCTTTCATGTACTCAAGAATTTTCATCATTGTCCCTGTTTCCTTCGCTTTGCAACATCTTTCAATTAAAATATTACATGTAGCTTTGTCTGGTTTTACCCCTGCATCTTGCATTTTATAAAATATCTCCATAACTTTACCAAACTTTCCTGAAAGTGGCAAAATAGGAAGAAAATAGCCATGTTAACCAAGTGTAGATGATACAATACAGCACCAGAAAGTGTTTCTACAATTGAAAACCAAGCTCAGTCCTCTAAACCTATGAAGATAAGTGATCAGATTTGTAAATGAACCAAACTATCAACAAGCAGTCATTGTTTTAGTCCATAAAGAAGGCCATCAAAGTGGCAGCGAAAGAAGCACTCTCACCTGTTTTGGCTAAATGCTCCATAAGTACTGTGTATGTGTGGCAATTGGGAGAACAGCCAAATCGAAGCATCTCTTTGTACACCTTAGCACCCTCCTTAACAAGGTTGTGGTCAAACAAAACCTTCATGTACGCCGTGTAGGAAACCACAGTAGGACAGCGCCCTTTCGCTCTCATCTCCCGCCAACACTTCTTCGCCCCTTCAATGTCGCCGCTGTTGGAAAGCCAATGCAGAACGGACGTATACGTCACCACGTCAATCTTGACACCTTTCTCTTTCATTTGGTTCAAAACATACATCATCGAAGGAATCCTCCCTGCTTCCCCAAACATATCCAGCATTGTCGTATACGTGTACTGGTCATGCTTAAACCCTCTAATCTTAGCTGCCCAGTTGAAGAACAGCCAAGCCTTCTCCAATGGCGGATGAGTCTTGAGAACCTGATTGACTGTATATGAATCCCATTTCAAGGAAAGCCCTTCCAGAAGCCCTAGCCCAGATTCCCAAGTTGAGTACCTCAATATATTTGATATCTTCGCAACCAAATCCCTCATGTAAACACTTGCCGTCTCTGATTTCTCGGCATGTTTCTTGAACGACTTCCCAGATCGAGTCCGGTTTCGATCAACTCGCCTGTCTGGTGTCCTCTGGTTCGAATTTCGAAGAGAGTGCAAGTAATTCGAGAAGATCTTCCTGGGCCCTGAAATGGTGCTACTTGCTGATGAGATGCGCACAAGAATCGGAAGCTTCTCCATGAACAGTGGCGGAGCCAGGATTTAGGGCAGGATTTAGGGGTAGTGGGTGCGCTATACCTGGAGCTAGTGAGTCGTGCCCCGAATATTTATTTAAAAAGATACTCCCTCCGTCCCCAATTTGATTACAAATTGCGGGTTACGGAGTAAAATTTTCTACTTTTTGAAATTATTTTATTTACAAATTGGTATATCAATAAGATACAAAAATTACATACGGAGTATTAAAAAACTACGTCAAAAGTTCTACAAACGAGAGATGACAAGAATATTTTATTTTATCAAATACTAAATCGCGTAAACAAACAAAAGTTATCGAGAGCAGAGAAAAACAAATTATAATCTATTTAGGGGCGGAGGGAGTAATACGGAGTATAAAACAATAAAAAATATTATGTACTCAATTTCTTCATCAAATGTAATTTAAATGTACTCCGGGTAACTATTTTAAGAAATATTATGTACTCAATTTCTTCATCAAAACTGTTAATTTATAAAACTAAGTGTTGATTTGAGCATAATCTTCATATTAATTTAATAAAAAACAAAAAATATTAAAAATAACACAAAATTAGTAGAGAAAAAATCATATTATCAATTGATGTGGCACGTCTCCACTATATGCCCCCACTGCTCTGCTCTGCTCTGCTCTCTCTCTCTCTCTTTATATATATATATATATATATATATATATATATATATATATATATATATATATATATATATATATATATATATATATATATATATATATTAAAAAATAAAAATTGGAGTGACTGCAATTGCAGTCAATTGCTCCTCTTTGGCTCTGCCACTGTCCATGAATGGGGTCATGGGAAGGTAACATACAGAAATCGCCAAGAAAATCCCGGGGAACGGCGTATGGCGACTTCAATATCTTTCTGCAAAATTGTTGGAAAATGAGAAGAAGGAAGAGAGGAAGTTACTACTTCAGCTCGGATTTCAAAAACGAAAGCCCAGTCCCGCCCCCTCAGAACCTAAGCTCATTTCTAAACCTAGTCTTAGACCACAGGGCGTGGTCTCAGTGGTTGCTCCGTGATGGCCAGTGGCGCCATGTAGACGTCCACGGCCTGGAAGGCTGGAACCCAGCCCATGTGCCTTCATAGTCGCTCGAGAGAGGGAGGGTTTGTGGATCATCAAATTCTCACAAATAGAATGAAAAGTGGGTTCATGTAAAAACAACAAGGCTCTTTCCCTATATGGAGTTCGGAACCCAAAGGTAATCCTTGAGTGAATTATATCTTTTTTGTGTTAGTTGACCTAAGTTGTATCCTTACTACTGGGATGGGGCTCGACTTCCGAACCATACGTGGGACGAGTTTTTACCTCATATAGCTCGGGCCGAAGACCGAGAGAAGATCGGGAAACCTAGTAGGTGCCGGTCAAGGCATTCTCACCAAACAAATATTATAACTAAGAAAGAGCACCACTTAGTTGTTCTGCCATTCATTAGGTTTGTCCTCCTCTCTCGTTGGTTGAGTGATTTCGTACATCTTTCAAATGAGTTGAACATAGTTCAACGAAATGAGTTGAACATAGTTCGACGAATTTTCTAGAGACTTTGTACCTTTTTCAAATCACTTTCACTATGTTACATTCATTTTGAAACAAAATGAGTTGAACATAGTTCAGCAAATTCTTCAGAGACTTTGTACATCTTTCAAATGAGTTGAACATAGTTCGACGAAATGAGTTGAACATAGTTCAACGAATTCTCTAAGCCTTTTTTCTCTTCATCAATTCATTGTCACGTTAACTTCAGCTTTCCCTTCATCTTCCTTTTCCAGAGAAATGTCTTCCCATTTTTCCTTTTAATTTTTACTATTATATTTTAATGCTTATTTTAATTTAAATAATAAAACTAAAAACATAAAAACAATAAAAGTTTTGAATACTAAAACTAAAATTTTTAAATAAAATCAAAACTATTACTAAAATTCATGCGTTAAATAATTGAGACACAATAAAAATAAT